GGGAGTGTGCCACCAGTTTATGGACTTCCCAGATGTTGACTTGGGAGTGTGGCACCAGTTCATGGACTTCCCCGATGTTGACTTGGGAGTGTGGCACCAGTTCATGGACTTCCCCGATGCTGACTAGGGACTGTGGCACCAGTTCATGGACTTCCCCGATGCTGACTAGGGACTGTGGCACCAGTTCATGGACTTCCCCGATGCTGACTAGGGAGTGTGGCACCAGTTCATGGATTTCCCCGATGCTGACTAGGGACTGTGGCACCAGTTCATGGACTTCCCCGATGCTGACTAGGGAGTGTGGTGTAAGTTCATGGATTTTCCCGATGCTGACTAGGGAGTGTGGTACCAGTTCTTGGACTTCCCGGATACTGACTAGGGAGTGTGGTGTAAGTTCATGGATTTTCCCGATGCTGACTAGGGAGTGTGGTACCAGTTCATGGACTTCCCCGATGCTGACTAGGGAGTGCGGCACCAGTTCATGGACTTCCCCGATGCTGACTAGGGATTGGGGTACAAATTCATGGATTTCCCCGATGCTAACTAGGGAGTGTGGTACCAGTTCATGGACTTCCCCGAAACTGACTAGGGAGTGCGGCACGAGTTCATGGACTTCCCCGATGCTGACTAGGGAGTGGGGTAAAAATTCATGGATTTCCCCGATGCTGACTAGGGAGTGTGGTACAAGTTCATGGATTTCCCCGATGCTGACTAGGGAGTGTGGCACCAGTTCATGGACTTCCTCGATGCTGACTAGGGAGTGTGGTACCAGTTCATGGACTTCCCCGATGCTGACTAGGGAGTCTGGTACCAGTTCACGGACTTCCCCGATGCTGACTAGGCAGTGTGGCACCAGTTCATGGACTTCCCCGAAACTGACTAGGGAGTGTGGCACCAGTTCATGGACTTCCCAGATGTTGACTAGGGAGTGTGGCACATGTTCATGGACTTCTCGGATGCTGACTAGGGAGTGTGGCATCAGTTCATGGACTTCCCCGATGCTGAATAGGGAGTGTGGTACCAGTTCATTGACTTCCCGGATGCTGACTAGGGAGTGTGGTACAAGTTTATGGATTTCCCCGATGCTGACTAGGGAGTGTGGCACCATTTCATGGACTTCCCCGATTCAGACTAGTGACTGTGGTACCAGTTCATGGACTTCCCGGATGTTGACTAGGGATTGTGGCACCAGTTCATGGACTTTCGGGATGCTTGCTAGGGACTGTGGTACCAGTTCATGAACTTCCCGGATTCTGACTAGGGAGTGTGGCACCAGTTCATGGACTTCCCCGATGCTGAATAGGGAGTGTGGTACCATTTCATTGACTTCCCCGATGCTATCTAGGGAGTGTGGTACAAGTTCATGGATTTCCCCGATGCTGACTAGGGAGTGTGGCACCAGTTCATGGAATTCCCCGATTCTGACTAGTGACTGTGGTACCAGTTCATGGACTTCCAGGATGTTGACTAGTGAGTGTGGCACCAGTTCATGGACTTCCCCTATGCTGACCAGGCAGTGTGGCACCACTTCATGGACTTCGCCAATTCTGACAAGGGAATGTGGTACCAGTTCATGGACTTCCCCGATGCTGACTAGGGAGTGCGGCACCAGTTCATGGACTTCCCCGATGCTGACTAGGGAGTGTGGTACAAATTCATGGATTTCCCCGATGCTAACTAGGGAGTGTGGCACCAGTTCATGGACTTCCCCGATTCTGACTAAGGAGTGTGTTACAAGTTCATGGATTTCCCGGATGCTGACTAGGGAGAGTGGTACCAGTTCATGGACTTCTCGGATGTTGACTAGGGAGTGTGGCACCAGTTCATGGACTTTCCCGATGCTGACTAGGGAGTGTGGCACCAGTTCATGGACTTCTCGGATGCTGACTAGGGAGTGTGGCACCAGGTCATGGACTTCCCGGATGCTGACTAGGGAGTGTGGTACAAGTTCATGGACTTCCCCGATTCTGACTAGGGAGAGTGGCACCAGTTCATGGACTTCCCAGATGTTGACTAGGGAGTGTCGCACATGTTCATGGACTTCCCGGATGCTGACTAGGGAGTGTGGCATCAGTTCATGGACTTCCCCGATGCTGAATAGGGAGTGTGGTACCAGTTCATGGACTTCCCGGATGCTGACTAGGGAGTGTGGTACAAGTTCATGGATTTCCCCGATGCTGACTAGGGAGTGTGGCACCAGTTCATGGATTTCCCCGATGCTGACTAGTGAGTGTGGTACAAGTTCATGGATTTCCACGATTCTGAGTAGGGAGTGTGGTACAAGTTCATGGATTTCTCAGATGCTGACTATGGAGTGTGGTACCAGTTCATGGACTTCCCGGATGTTGACTAGGGAGAGTGGCACCAATTCATGACTTCCCCGATTCTGACTAGGGAGTGTGGTACAAGTTCATGGATTTCCCCGATGCTGACTAGGGAGTGTGGTACAAGTTCATGGATTTCCCCGATGCTGACTAGGGAGTGTGGCACCAGTTCATGGACTTCCTCGATGCTTACTAGGGAGTGTGGTACCAGTTCATGGATTTCCCCGATGCTGACTAGGGAGTCTGGTACCAGTTCACGGACTTCCCGGATTCTGACTAGGCAGTGTGGAACCAGTTCATGGACTTCCCCAAAACTGACTAGGGAGTGTGGCACCAGTTCATGGACTTCCCAGATGTTGACTAGGGAGTGTGGCACATGTTCATGGACTTCTCGGATGCTGACTAGGGAGTGTGGCATCAGTTCATTGACTTCCCCGATGCTGAATAGGGAGTGTGGTACCAGTTCATTGACTTCCCGGATGCTGACTAGGGAGTGTGGTACAAGTTCATGGATTTCCCCGATGCTGACTAGGGAGTGTGGCACCAGTTCATGGACTTCCCCGATTCAGACTAGTGACTGTGGTACCAGTTCATGGACTTCCCGGATGTTGACTAGGGATTGTGGCACCAGTTCATGGACTTTCCGGATGCTGGCTAGGGACTGTGGTACCAGTTCATGGACTTCCCCGATGCTGACTAGGGAGTTTGGTACCAGTTCATGAACTTCCCGGATGCTGACTAGGGAGTGTGGCACCAGTTCATGGACTTCCCCGATGCTGAATAGGGAGTGTGGTACCAGTTCATTGACTTCCCCGATGCTGACTAGGGAGTGTGGTACAAGTTCATGGATTTCCCCGATGCTGACTAGGGAGTGTGGCACCAGTTCATGGACTTCCCCGATTCTGACTAGTGACTGTGGTACCAGTTCATGGACTTCCAGGATGTTGACTAGGGAGTGTGGCACCAGTTCATGGACTTCCCCGATGCTGACTAGGGAGTGTGGCACCAGTTAATGGACTTCCCGGATGCTGACTAGTGAGTGTGGCACCAGTTCATGGACTTCCCCTATGTTGACTAGGCAGTGTGGCACCACTTCATGGACTTCGCCAATTCTGACTAGGGAGTGTGGTACCAGTTCATGGACTTCCCCGAAACTGACTAGGGAGTGCGGCACGAGTTCATGGACTTCCCCGATGCTGACTAGGGAGTGGGGTACAAATTCATGACTTCCCCGATTCTGACTAGGGAGTGTGGTACAAGTTCATGGATTTCCCCGATGCTGACTAGGGAGTGTGGTACAAGTTCATGGATTTCTCCGATGCTGACTAGGGAGTGTGGCACAAGTTCATGGACTT